AGATTCTCCTAAGGGAATTTGGGACAAGTTGGCAAATCATTATATGTCCAAGTCAGCGACCAATAAGCTGTATTTGAAGCAAAAGTTCTATGGGCTGAAGATGTAGGAGGGGTCGGATCTTGTGGATCATGTGAATGCCTTTAATCAGTTGGTCACGGATCTAGCACGTCTGGATGTGAATATTGATGATGAGGATAAGGCACTACTTCTTGTTTCGTTGCCACCGTCCTATGAGCATGTGGTCATTACATTGACACATGGAAAGACAACCATCAATAATGAGGAAGTCACTGCAGCGTTGCTTGGACATGAGTTGATGAAGCAAAAGAATGCTGCAGAAAGGGATAGTACTCAAGGTTTGGGGTTGGCAGTTAAAGGTTATCAGCTCAGGAAGGGACAAGAGGCAGAGAAGAAAAAAAGAAAAAGGTGCAGTGCTACAGGTGCAAGGACTGGGGACATATAAAGAGGGAATGCCCAGAACTGAAGGGTGGGACAAGTGCTAATGCGGCTACTCATGGTGATGGCTCGGACAATGATAGTGATGTTCTCGTTGTATCAAACACGCGGTCAACAAAAACTGAAGCGTGGATGTTGGATTCAGCTTGCTCTTTTCATGCGACGCCCAACAGGGAGTGGTTCTCTTCGTACAAGTCTGGTGAGTTTGGTTTAGCCTATGTGGGCGATGACACGGTTTTCATGTTGTTGGAGTAGGTGACATCAAAATCAAGATGTTTGACGGAGTTGAGCGGATGCTTCGGGGAGTCGGGCATGTGCCAGGGTTTAGGAGGAATCTAATTTCGCTTGGTGTTCTTCATGATGGTGGTATGGAATTTCGTTGTGATCGGGATAAGAAGACCATGGAAATCATGGAAGATAAGGTGACTATGATGATAGGAGAGAGGACGGCTTTTTCACATCTTTACAAGTTGCAAGGGAGCACTATTGCAGGTGGAGCCATGGAGAGTGAAGCTGCAGGAATAGCAATGGAGTCCCACGGTGGCGGCGAGTCTGGCCCGTCGGGTAGCTCTCAGTAAGCTACAAAGAAAACAACCCAAGTCCGGAGTACATGGAGGTTCGAGCATGGACGGCTCCTAGGTGGTGGAGAATATTCGCCAAGGTGGCGTTTGTTATATTTGTGTCGAATATATTACGTACGCAAGGGGTTACGTGGATTTGGAGTTGTAATTGGTGTGGTTAGGAATGAGTTGTGTAGGAGTCGGACACTTGTATCCTAGGCCTCTTATATACGGAGGGACACCACACATTGTAACCCATGACGACTTGATAGCAACAGGTACGCGGGGGAGCCAACAGCTTGTGCCGGCGCCCGGGCGGGCGGTGTTGCGGTATCTTGGGGAGGAGCGCCCGTAGTCATGCCCCGGGGATGTAGGCATATCGGTGAACCTCGTTAACAAATATCGTGCCTCGGTGTGTCGTCTATGATCTTGCATTAGCGTTTATTCTAACAGATGGCCATACAAATGCATCATGCAGTCTCTGCCAGAGGCGCCGGAGAGCGCATTTCACCTGCTCGCCTCATGCTCCTTCACCACGGAGCTTTGGCAGAGGGTGTTAAGCCGGTGCGGTCTACCGGCGATGATGGCACCGTCCGCGACCGCGGCAAACCTTCTAGAATGGTGGGATCAAAGTCGGTCCAGGGTGCCAAGGGACCATAGACGTGGGTGGAGCTCACTGGTGCTGGTGGACGGCATGGAAAGAACGAAATGCGCGGATCTTCGATAACAAGTTTTCGAGGGGGTGCAGGTCTTTCACCGCCTGATTGAAGACATCGACACTTGGACAATAACCGGCCGTAACAAGATCAACAACCTGCTGCATAGACCTCTTGGACCAGACTAGACATTAGGATACGGAATGCGGTGATGCATATTTCATGCAAATTTTGTATCTAACAGACGTTGTCTTCCCTCTCTCATATTCAATGAAAAGCTGCACAGCAGCATTTTCGTCAAAAAAAAGAGTCAGTTCGCCTACATGTCGGCCTCAATCGACTCCATAATAAAATCCTTCCCTTCACTCGATTTCAGGATTTTCACATTGCTTGGAGTTGGAGGATGATGAGAGTCGAGAGTTATCGTTCAAAAATAAGACTTCAGAGTTGCTGCTGCGATGTGCCCGCGAACATGTTTTCAGTTAAGGAAGGAGCAACGATGATCGAATGCAATCTTCGACCCCAAACTAAGCCCGGCCACGGTACTGAAATTGCAGATTAACAGGAAGAGTTGGAGCGTTTTCGGAGTTGTTCAGCTTCAGAGTTGATCTGCAAATAGGGCAACGCTCTGAATCTGACTGGTGAGAGCCTCTGTGTACGGTTCATGTCTTGCAATTCGGCAGTGTTTTCCTGCTATGGGTTTTGGAGTGGACGACGCGGCAGCTTTTTCGTCAAAGCGATCGACGGGCTTCAGTGCACGGAAATGCGGATGAAGTTCTTGTACGTACTGCACTATATAACATATGGCAATTCGCCAAGAGATACGTGCCTACCATTGACTTGTATCTTTTTTTAGGGGACCATTGACTTGTATCCTAGACCATGTCCCAAGGCGAAGACTTTGGTCAAGTCCACGTACCGGTGGAATTGGTAAGGACGACCTGTCGGTCCCTCCTGCAGGGTCTCACATGGCAAAAGCTATGAAATGACGTACCAATTTCTTTGTGAAAATCACATTTTATCAAACAAACTGCACGACTGGACAGCAGACCAACCATTAGAAAACGTTGACGATATCTGACTTGCACGTTTTGTCTTGTCCTTTTAAGATTAGGAATGCATGTCATGTTCAAGTGTTCAATTAAACACAGAAGCTATGCCGCTGCACTCGTGTCAGTCAGATAATAACAAGAAACATTATCAACGAAAGATACAGACATAAGTTAGAGAAAAAACCTACTACTCCCAGCGCTCTCCCTAAACTACACTTCCGATCCAATGAACCCTCCGACCTGTTTCTAATACGGTTTCGGCTACGTGGAAGTTGGTTTTGTCCATGTGGCATCCACATCACTTAGGGCCTCTTTGAGTTGCAGGATTTTGAAAGCGTGGGAATAGAAAAAGTATAGGATTGAAGTGTCACGCTCACTTGAATCCTATAAGAACAGCAACGAGTGTTTGATTTCACAGGAAAGACAAAGGAATTGTAAAAAGAGGCTGGAGTGGATGTTAGATTTTCTATGAAATGTAGTACAAAAGATTTCAAAGAAAATATTCCTATCATCCTATGGGATTCAATCCTATGATTCAAAGGACAAATGTAGGAAAAATTTCAAAGGATTTCAATCCTTCAAAAATCCTATAGAATTCCTTTGAATCAAAGGAGCCCTTAGTTTTTCATGCATGGATGCCACATCATGACCATCTGCATATGTTTCTTTTTTATTAGTTTCAACAAATAAATTCAAAATATCCTAACTTGCTAAAACTCCCTCCTGCTAGATGATGCTAGTTGAAATAATATTGACTTGTGCAAATGCTCATTCTTCCTATGCAATCTAGTATTAAAATGGGTCGGACCATGTTACCCAATGAGAAATGAGGCCACTCGATATAGGATCATTTGGCCGGCTCCATGTTCCTGATCAGAACTGTGGGTCTAGTAGGGACCAGGTCTAGGTCGGAGCGGGCCGGCCCATTGCCATCCCGACCTGCAACCATTAAGCCATATGATGGCACGCCGATTGCAGCGTCTAAGGACCTCCCATAACAGCTCCTTAGTTGTGAGATATGTGATGTGCAATTTCGATCGCTGCGGCTGACTAATTGCTTGGCTTGGATCTTTACGTTGCTTCTCACGGACTTTTTGGTATGGATTTTGTCGCTGGTCACTTGCTTGGGAAGAAATACAAATGATGTTGTGTGTTGTATCTTTTGTTTGCCTGGTTAACGCACTGTGATGGTTTCTGTCTGGTTTTGTGCTATTTAACAAGTATTGTGCCTTGTTTAGAAAATAATTCTTGGTAAAATTTGCAGTTTAGGACATATGATGATGTGAGAGAATGAATGAGGAGGCATGGCAAAGTTGTAGGTAAGATCACCCAACAGCTCTAACACAAGCTCTTGGGTGAAAATAGAAAACGAACTTGTACATTCTCTGAACTTCTATTGGGCAATATGAGCACAATCTACTCTACTGGAGAAGTTGTATAAGACAATTTTTTTTATTGATGAGATGACCAATTTTATGAACAAGACAAGACAACACAAGTGTGTTGGAGATGCCCTAATGGGACTGTCAGCGGTGGCGGAGCCAGAAAATAAGTATCAGGGGGGCCAAAGAATAGATGAAGCATCATCGGGGGCCAAATGCA